AAAATGAATTAAAATTTTTATAATAATTACCACCTTATAATCAACCCACTTTAATAAAAGAAAAATTATTTTTTGTACCCTAAAATTAGATTAATAAATAAAAAATGGAATAGATTATTATAGCCATTCATCATTTTTAATGAAATAAGTATTTGGTTAATATTCAATATATTATTGTTTTTATTTTCAATAATAACAATGATAATTATGACAAAAAATATTGATTTTGTATTCAGGAAACAAATACTACTGATAGGTATATATTTGAAGTGTACAATCTATTGTCTGTTAGGAAATAAATCGAGTACAAGTAATTTTCCTATAACCAGATTAGTGAGAATGTGAAATAAAAGAGGAAAAATAATACTCGAAAATTGATAACGGAGTTCAGCCAATTGTGCTTACGTCTCCGGGCTGCTGCATATCTTTTACTAAGAGAGAAAATTTACAGGTGTTTACAAAACACTCACTACTCACAAGAAAGCTCTCTAGTATAGGAAGAAAGAAATATTTTGGGATGATTTTGAAGCTAAATGAGCTAGGGTATTTATAGTTGAAGCCTAGGGACTAATCTTGTAAATACCCTAAAAAATGCAATGACTAAAGTTGCAATACTCCCATTTCTATTTCAACAATGGCTGCCCATTTATTGTTTTTCAGCCGCCCCATGTGCATTTGTTTTTCCAGCTGAAATTGTTGATTTCAGCGGCCCCTTCAAGCCTTCGTTTGTTGACTTTTCCCAACAATCTCCCACTTGAAGACTGATTTTAATCTTTCTTCACACCTCGATCAATGCAACAGCATTTCTGGTCTCATTATTCTAGCATGCCAACTGAAGCTGAACACAACTTTAGTTTGTCCGTAGTCACCGTCTTTATTAACATATCTGCCGGATTTTGAGCTCCACTAATCTTTTCAAGTTTCAAAATCCCATCTTCCAGAAAAGACCGAATAAAATGATATCTCAATTGTATGTGCTTCGTTCTGGAATGAAAAGACGGATTCTTTGCTAGATGGATTGCACTTTGACTGTCGCAATACAAGACATTGTTTTCTTGTTTCTTGCCTAACTCTTCCAAGAAACTTTGGAGCCAAACCATCTCCTTGTTGGAATACATTAGACTTCCAATTGCTGAGGCGTACGACACCTTCACCATGTGTGCACGTTCTTCCTCCGTCTTTGGTGATTGGTTTTTGGAGAGTCTGAAATGAACAGCTAAAGGTGTACTTACTGGTTTAGCATCTTGCATGTTGAACCTGGAGAGTACTTTGTTGATGTACTCAGCCTGTGATAACATCAAAGTCTCCGACTTTGTGTCTCTCTTGATCCTCATCCCAAGAATCTGCTTTGCAGCGCCCAGATCTTTCATTGCAAATTGCTTCGACAATTTTTGCTTCAAGTGTATAATTTCTTGCATGTCTGAGCCTGCAACAAGCATGTCATCAACGTGCAATAATAAAATAATGAAGTTGTTGTCGAACCTCTTGATGTAGCAACAATGATCTACTTGGCATCTGGTAAAACCACTGCTACTCATGAAACTATCGAACTTCTTGTACCACTGTCTAGGAGCTTGTTTTAAACTATACAAGCTCTTCTTCAACCTGCATACCAGGTTTTTCTTGCCTACCTCTATGAAGCCTTCTGGCTGCCTCATATAGATTTCTTCCTCCAAATCACCATGAATGAAAGCTGTCTTTACATCTAACTGCTCAAGATGTAAATTCTCTATAGCTACAATTTTCAACACCAGTATGATTGTAGACAGTTTTACGACTGGAGAGAAACTTTCATTGTAGTCAATACCTTCTTTTTGCTGAAAGCCTTTGACAACCAATCTTGCTTTGTAGCGTTTGCTCCCATCGTGCTCTTCTTTGATCCTGTAAATCCACTTGTTGTGGAGCGCTTTATTGCCTGGTGGTAATTCAGTTAATTCTCATGTCTGATTTGACATAAGCGAGTCCATCTCATCTTTCATGGAAGACTCCCACTTGACTGAATCATCCACTTGCATTGCTTCATCATAGCACTCTGATTCACCATTATCAGTCAGCAACAAGTAGTGCAAAGAAGGAGAATATCGTTGGGTTGGTTTAGGAATTCTGGAGGAGCGTCTCAATTCTGGTGTGCGTGGTTCTTCTTGAACTGCTTCAGGATTAATCTGAACATTATTTCCAGAAATCTCCTCAAACTCAGCAAATTCCTTTGTTTCAGCTTCGGTATTACTTGATTTTGCAGTTGACCTGTCTTTGTACATCACATTTTCATTGAAAATGACGTCTCTACTTCTAATGATCTTTCGATTTTCATAGTCCCAAAATCGGTAACCGAACTCATCACCACCGTAACCAACAAAGACGCATTTGTTAGACTTGGCATCAAGTTTACTTCTTTCAACAGAGTCTATGTGTACATAAGAAATACAACCAAACACTCTTAAGTGTGAAAGGTTTATTTCTTTCTTGCTCCAAGCTTCCTCTGGTATTCCACCATCCAAGGGAACTGAGGGCCCATGGTTGATCAGGTAAGCTGCAGTGTTGATAGCTTCAGCCCATAGAAATTTGGGCAATCCGGCATGTATCCTCATGTTTCTGGCACATTCATTCAGAGTTCTGTTCATGCGCTCTGCTACGCCATTATGTTGCGGTGTCATGGGAACTGTTGTCTCCATTTTGATCCCATTGTTTGCGCAGAAATCTCTGAATCTACGATTTTTGTACTCTCTTCCATTGTCAGACCTCAACCGCTTGACTTTCAAACCAGTCTCATTTTTCACCATGGCCTTCCATTTTCTGAAGGTATCAAAGACTTATGATTTCTTCTTCAGAAAATAAACCCACACCTTCCTTGTTGAATCATCGATAAAGGTGACATAATATAATGAGCCTGCAAGAGATGGAACTGGAGATGGTCCTCATACATCAGTATGAACCAACTCTAGCTTTTCAACCTTGGGTGTCTTACCAATCTTTGCAAAGCTAACTTTCTTTTGTTTGCCAAAGATGCAATCATCGCATAGTCTGACATCTATATTCTTTAGATCCGGCAACTTCCCTTTTGACAAAAGTGTCTTCATCCCTTTCTCGCTCATATGACCAAGCCTTTGGTGCCATAGGTTTGATTTTCCATCAGTATTTGTTGCAGCAATGATATTCTCTAAATTTGAGGTTACATAGAGAGTACCAGTCTTCTTACCACGAGCAATGACAAGTGCTCCTTTGGTAATCTTCCATTCACAGCCTGAAAAGGTTGTACTATATCCTTCTCTGTCTAACAGAAATCAGATTTCTTTTGAGGCCAGGAATATGTCTCACTCCTGTTAGCTTCCAGGTGGTCTGGTTTGGCAGCTTTAGTCGGATGTCTCCTTTTCCGACGATCTTCAAGGTTTCATCATCAGCTAGATGAACCTTCCCAAAATCACCACTAATATAGTTCTCCATGATTTCTCGGCATGGGGTGGAGTGGAAAGATGCCCCTGAATCCAAGATCCATGATTCAATCGGACTGTTGACACTTAAAATCATGGCATCACATGTCTCCTCTGTCACGTTAGCAGATTCCTGTGCGCCGGTATTTTTCTTCGGTGCTCGGCAATCTCTTTTAAAGTGACCCTTCTTGCCACAATTATAACAGGTAAAATCTTTCTTTCCCGTTCTGGATTTTCCCCGTCTGGATTTCGATCTGCCATTATTTGAATTTCTTTATGAAGTTCTCCCTCTGGACTCCGTGTACAAGGTTGAGGAGGTTGATGCTTCACCCGATTCTCTCTGTCGAATTTCTTCGCTCAGTACCAGATCCCGAACATCGTCGAATTTCAATTTACTATTTCCCGACGAGCTACTAACTGCTGTAACAGTAGCATTCCAACTGTCTGGTAGAGATGATAAGAGAATTAAAGCTCGAACTTCATCATCGAATTCAATTTCCACTGAACTCAACTGAGTTGTAATTGTGTTGAGTTCATTTAGGTGTTGTGCTATCGATGCCCCTTCTGTCATCCGCAAATTGAATAATCGCCTCATCAAGTGCAGTTTATTTGAGGCTGATGGCTTCTCATACATACTGGAGAGAGCCGCCATAAGACCCGCCGTGGTCTTTTCCTTTGCTATGTTGAAAGCAACATTGCGGGATAACGTCAGTCGGATAACTCCGAGGGCTTGTCTATCAAGAAGAGCTCAGTCTTCATTCTTCATGCCCTCTGGTTGTTTTCCTGAGAGAGGTTGATATAGATTTTTCTGGTACAGAAAATCTTCAATTTGCATCTTCCAAAGTCCGCACCATACTTTTCAATTTTCACTTTCCCTTCGTCTACAGCCATCGCTCCCACTCGAATATGGCTTCGTTTGGATCGTTTCTGACAATTTCTACGAACCGCCGTGTATTAGAACACCTCCGTCGACAAACTCGTATCGCCTACCGAATTTCACTATTCACGTGAATAGTAACCCAAATAGTAACCTCGCAAAAAATTGACAGAATTCATAATCAAAAGCTCTGATGCCAGTTGTTAGGAAATAAACCGAGTACAAGTAATTTTCCTACAACCAGATTAGTGAGAATGCGAAATAAAAGCGGAAAAATAATACCCGAAAATTGATAACAGAGTTCAGTCAATTGTGCTTACGTCTCCGGGCTGCTGCAGATCTTTTACTAAGAGAGAAAATTTACAGGTGTTTACAAAACACTCACTACTCGCAAGAAAGCTCTCTAGTATAGGAATAAAGAAATGTTTTGGGATGATTTTGAAGCTAATGAGTTAGGGTATTTATAGTTGAAGCCTATGGACTAATCTTGTAAATATCCTAAAAAATGCAATGACTAAAGTTGCAATACTTCCATTTCTATTTCAACAATGACTGCCCATTTATTGTTTTTCAGCCACCCATGTGCATTTGTTTTTCCAGCTGAAATTGTTGATTTCGGCGGCCCCTTCAAACCTTCGTTTGTTGACTTTTCCCAACATTGTCACCATATCCAGAAAAGCTAAACATTACATACCATGGTATTGGAAACTGGCAAGCCTACTCCTGCTCCTAGTGTTGAAGATGATAGCTCTAAAAGAACAGGTAAGGCATTTTCGAATCTGGTTTTTTCTACTTGTGGATAATCTAAGTAGGAAGATGTTGGTCTTAGACAATTTATCGAATACGATAAAGATTCGTATTCGATGATATGGAGAAAGGAGAGAGATTAGAGAAGATGATGAACAAAGAGTGTAAATTTGATGATCTTTTCACCAGTCTTATTTGTCTGGGTATATATGTTCCGGACACCAGACAATAGATAATTAATATCAATCTTAAGGAGTTAAGGTTGATAACTATTGATGGGTGTTGATAGATGAATAGATCCGACCGTCAAATAATAGATTTAACCAATGACGGAAATGAGAGTGTTTCGTCAGTTTTAAAGTTAAAAAAAGCTTACTTTAGATATTGCTGTTTTGTTTGGTTTTGCAGGAACTTGGGTGACCGCAAGTGCGCATATAATAACAGCAGTTATAGGTTCAGGAGTGTTATCTCTTTCATGGGCCATTGCTCAGTTACGGTGGATAGGTGGCCCAACTGCTCTCTTGATCTTCTCCGTCATCACCTGGTTCACATCGATTCTGCTGGCTGATTGTTGCAGGGATCCTGTTTCAGGAAGAAGATGTAGCTGTTACATGGATGCTGTAAAATCTCATTTAGGTTACAGAGTCAACCATAAAATAGGCTTCTTTCAAGTACATGAGCCCCAATGCTAATAATTTTATGGCCTTACAGGAGGCATCAATAGCATGTTTTGTGGATTAGCACAGTATGTGAATCTTGTGGAGGTAACAATTGGATATTCAATCACTTCAGCTATTAGTATGGCGTAAGTTTTTTGCAAGATTTTTTTGTGTGTGTTTTGATTTTGATTTTTATGCCAAGAATATGATATTATTGTGTATGATTTAACCAGGGCGATAAAAAGATCAGGCTGCTTTCACAAGAATGGCCATGGTGCAGGCTGCCATGTCAAGAACATGTTCATGATTATCTTCGGTTTTATAGAGATCGTATTAAGCCAAATTCCCAACTTCCATGAGCTCTCGTGGCTGTCCGCGGTGGCTGCCGTTATGTCATTTGCGTACTCTTGCATCGGCTTCGGTCTCTCGATCGCCAAAGTCGCTGGAGGGTCTCATTCTAGGACGAGCTTGACCGGGACGATGGTGGGAGTCGATGTGACGACCGGACAGAAGATTTGTAACTGTTTCGAAGCCCTTGGTAACATCGCCTTCGCCTATACTTTCTCCACTGTCCTCGTTGAGATACAGGCAAGTCTCATGATTTTTATGATCCTTTTTATTTCCAAGACATCATAAAAGATATATGTTCATGGAATTGGACACACTGAAATCAAGTCCACCGGAAAATAAATCCATGAAAAAGGAAACCTCGATCGGTGTCTCGGTGACTACCGTGTTCTATGTATCGTATGGAGTTGTGGGATATGCAGGATTTGGAAACACCGCGCCGGGCAATTTCCTAACAGAGTTCGGTTTTTACGAACCTTACTGGCTCATCGACATTGCTATTCTCTGCATTATTGTCCATCTTGTGGGAGCCTACCAGGTAAAACTAGTGAACATCAACTAGGACTGTCATAAAGATTAGATTATACTTTCAAATTTAAAAAAAGGATCGATGTAAGAATTGAGTAAAATCAGTGGTAAAATTCAACGGAGTGATGATGTCTTTGTTTTTCTTTTTCTAGGTGTTCTGCCAACCAATATTTAAGCAGGTGGAAGAGTGGTGCTTAAACAGATGGCCAAACAATAATTTTATGAAAGAAAGTCGGCCAATCGAACTCCCATTGCTAGGGGATTATACTTTCAGTACGTTCAGGCTAGTATGGCGAACATCTTACGTGATAAAGGCCACCGTGGTGGCGATGCTTCTCCCCTTCTTCAATGGCATTCTGGGTCTACTCGGAGCAGCTTCGTTTTGTCCGTTGACGGTATACTTCCCGGCCCAAATGCACATATCAAGAGAAAAAATCCGACCCTTTTTCTGGAAATGGATATGGTTAAACATCTTGGTGGTTGTTTGCTTGATTATATCACTCCTTGCGGCAGCTGGCTCTACTGCAGTAATTGCTAAGGATCTTCAAACATTCGAGCCTTTTACCTCTGTTTATTAACGTCTTTCATCTTTGGATATACTTTCTCGGGAAAATTGTTTATGTGGCATCTGTTTGTTGAAGTATCAAGTGAAGAGGGAAAGTCAAAAGTCTAATATGAAAGTTTTTAAGATTAGTCAAAATATTTGATGTGTTTATCCTCTAATCTCTTCTCTAAACACTGGATACTACAAGTCTGAATCGAATTATCAATTCGTTATTCATCATCTCAATTCTCATCACCACCAAATTTTTACATAGTATTAAAGCCACTGTTTTGGCTGTCACTATAGCTGTTGACATATCGTTCAACAACCAGTTCACCGCTTCTTTTTAGCTCCATTTTCTGTGTCTTATCAGAATTAATCAGTTATAGATTATTCATGGTTTGTATCTTTTGATTTGAACGAACAACCACGATCGAAATTAACCAACAATTAATTGGTATCAAGATCCTCTATTCCACGAGGGAGGAGAGGAAAGTACTTGGTAAAAAGAGTTCCAAACCCTTTTCGCAGTCTCGAAATTTTTTATAATGATTTTGTGTTAGTATCACGTGTAGAATTATGCTAATTACTTATAAGTTGTCCAGCTCAATAGTAATAACAATCAATTGATAATAAATTCAACATTACTATGTTATGTAAATTTGTTAAAAGTCTTGTCAAGAGGTAATAATTTTATAACAGATATACGTTAGAGAGAACTCCCGCCATGATAAAATTATTACGCTAAGGAAATTCGAAAAAAAGATTCAACCAGCACAATCAAAAGTAAGATAACAACTAGCTTTATTATAAGCTTCACTCATCTCATACGCAGCATGCTGGAACTGGCCATCGATTTTGATTTTCGAAAGGAGAGAGCTTCTACCTCAATGCAAATGGCCATCTTTGTCAAGCGACCCCTAATTCCATTATCAGTTGAAGTCAAAATCGTAGAGGGTTAGACTAAAATGAGTAATCCTAAAATACGAATTTAGATAAGAGAAATTAAAATGTGAAAAGTTATCCTATAGTGATTCAGATTCAAACAGTTATATATGTAAGATACATGTACATTGTCAATGATTAAGAACATTTTTTAACATATACTATTTTGTAACCTCCCGGTGTTGTTTAAAAAAATTCAAATCCAACTTTATTTGATTTTATAATATACTAAACATATCATAATCGATAATGATCTTGTCCATTGGGTTTAAACATTTATAAATATTACAACCGTGGTGGCAATGCTTCGGAAATTCTTCAACGACATTGCCGGTCTGCTGGAAGATGTTTTGTTTTGGCTATTGACCATGTGTTTCCATATCCAAATGCACATATCAAGAGAAAACATCCGACTCTTTTGCCGGAATTGGATATCATTAAACGTCTTGGCCAATGCCTTGCTTGATTATATCGGTTCTTGTAGCGCCAGGAACTATAGAATCATTAAGGATCTCCATACATAAAAGCCTTTCAACTCTGATTCTTAATGTCTTTCATCTATTTTTTATTACAGTTTCTGATATAGTTTCTCAGGTAATTTGCATCCCTTCAACATATATCGTTTTAAAGTTAAAACAACGGCAAACCTAATTGTTGGCTAAAGTTGGCATTTCCTTAATTATGCACCCAAGTATGTAGATTGTATTCAAGACTATCTCTGCCAATGTCCTCACCTAAAAATTGGAAATCAGGTGGCAGGCAGTGTACCACTCCACGTGCGTCGGTCATCGACAAGTTCACTAATTCTCCGTTCACGGATTTCTTGCATGTAGAGTACGCCGGTCCAAATGCCACGTACGAGTAAGATGCTTACAAACACAACACTTCCGAGAGTGCAAACCACCTATTATCGATCAAAACATGTTAAAAGAAGATGAGTGGGCAGACCACAAGGAACAATCAGTTTGCAGGACTCATCAAGTTTTGATACTACAAAATATTTAACTTGCAAAAACATGGCCATAGGCCACAATTGTATATGGTTCAAAGTGTTAACATAGCACATGCACATTTACTTGGTTTATTTACTATATAAATTACATGCATAACAAAGACCTAAAATCTTGGCTTGATAAGTTCTATAACCATACTCCAAGTAACTTTTCAAGGTGACTTCTATTACTAATTCCCCGTGCATCCAATCTCAAAAGGAGCTAACTTCTGCTCCCAGACATTGTCCTTTGCACAAGGATATTAACCAGTAGCAGTCCTATCGCAACTGATTCCCTAACTGGCTTTAGTTTATCAACTGAAATGAAGTGCATAATATTAAACCATAAGCGTTCACTTCTTAGTTTTCGGCCAAAGGCCTTTCTTTGTCTTCAAAACTGCAATTATCTCAGCTGTCAGAAAGGTCATATATGCCTCTTGCTACACCAGTTGGTGTTCGATTTTCCGCAATGAAAATTGCTAATCGGTTAATAATACATCCCTCCCCGTACAATAAAAAAGCAAATATACCGAGCAAGTAGAATTTAACAGCACCAATAACTAGACCAAACCCAGAATATAAGGGCAGACACAGGAAGAAAATTGGGTACAAAATGGCTGAGCACTGGAATTTAAGCGAGCATATCGAATTCCCAGCCGAAACAGACAAGTTTTCCCACCAACAGATGTTACTTCAAACCAATCATCCTCCTTGTTTTAATAAGTTTATCAACTTCAGCCAACTGAAACTGTACTAAAATCAATATTTTCCATATACGTTATTATAGATTCACAAATTGAAACCCTGTGAGTAAACATACTATTGAACCGAATCAACTTAGTTATGAACTGACAGTTAAATGTGATTGAAACTGCATAAAAATTAGCATAATTGGTGAACAAATGGGGGATTAAATGATGAATTACCTCAAGAAATGCCTTTAAAACCCACAACAATGCCAGAATCAGGACACCATTAACGGAGAATCCCACCTAAATTAGAGAAAACAATTTGATGAATTCAACAAGGGAGCCAATCTTTTATTTTTCTTATAATTATACATGGAAAAAATGAGAAATGAAGGAATATGTCAAATGAAGAAGGGTACCAGATTACTAGGGATGGAGACAGGCAAAACAGATCGAACGGCTTTCCTTGCTCGTTTAGAAATCTTTCTAAAAACGTTTTGAACAAATTTAACTAACAGATCCAAACTTCGATCATCGTCTTCATCGTCGTCTACTTCTTGATCATCGTAGAAATCGGTAGCAATCGAACGGCTCCAATTGTGCGGGCCATCCGGAAGATTATAAGTTACCTGAGTGAAATTCGGGGTTCTTCGTCGAGAGGCAAAAAGGGGTTGAAAGGAAGGGAATCTAGGGTTCCTGAAAAGGAAAGACGGCTGCTTGCTACAGGGAGAGATTGTCAGATGGGAAGGTGACACTATGACGGCGAAAGCCATGACCGTCAGTCATGAATATTCTGCATATCTGATCAATCCAAACCTTAACCGAGTCGATAGTCAATACAAGTTGATTATAAAAAATTAAAATAAATTACGGTCATTCGATTATAAAATATTATTTTATTAAATTATTTGATTATTAAAAATTATAAAAAAAATAATCACCTAATTATTTATATTCTAAATTCGAGCTCTAATCAAACTTGGCTCCACCGCTAGATATGGTTGTTGTTGCCAGGATAATGAATGTCATCTTGATTCTACCTTGTCTTGATCTTGAATCATTTTGGATGGACCCAAGTTAACAGTAATCATCTCAGTCGTTTGAATGTCATGGGTTATCCGTCCATAACGCCTATCTACATTGCTGTGGGTCGACCTTCATAGAATGACAGCTTTTCTATCAGAGTATTTTAAATGTCATTTTTCATTTTACTTTGGCAATCAAAGAAGAGTCGAAAAAATAAACTTTTGAAAGTTAAGGGGTTAATTTTAAAATCAATCTTTTCTTAACTTGCCATGTCATCAAATTAATGGAAATTAAAGGCTCAGTCACAAAATAAGATAACCCGATAACATAAGTGACTAAAGCATTAGTTTTTCAAATTTAGTGATCAAAATAAGGCATGCCGCCAAAAAAAGTGGATCACCCATGTAGTTTACCCAAATATTTTTATCCTATAAATATAGGGCAAATTAAAAAAATAGTTCCTAAACTATGTGGCAGTACTTTGTTGATTCCTCTAACTATCAAAAGTTACAAAACAATCCCTAATTATATGGCGTTATTTTATTAACTCCCCTAATTATTAAAAGTTATAAAACGGTCACTCAACTATTCATATATTTCAAACTCGTCCATTTTCGTTAAGAAATCAGTGGTCATTTGAGCTAGACGATAATTTGTTGATTGAGATACAATAAAATTTGATCCAAAATCGTTTGAGCTATATTTTGTGGATCGAATTTTTATATTATGTTTTCGATTCAATGCTTGAAATATTTTTTCATCGAACTAGTGTTTGAAAGAAACATCAGTGCCAATAAATATTATTAAATATGATTTTTTGCAATATGTTAACATTCAACTCAAATAATTATAAATTTTTAATAGAAAAAGACAACTTCAAAATATAAAAATAATAAAGTGAATATTTATTATTTTTAATAATCGAAACTCAATAAAATAATATCTTAAAATTAAATAATTATTTTGTAAATTTTAATAATGTAAGAATTGAACAAAGATATTATTTATTGCATTGCTTAAGCGCCAAGAAAATCAATTTAATACTCAAAAAACAAAAAACTCAATTCCGTCTTTGCGATCAAGATGAAGCTGAGACTGAGAAATTATGAATCCAAAGAAACCCAAAGAATTCAACTTCCATCGCCTTGTTCTTTCTTACAACTGCAGGAAACCCTCTTTGCCTCTCTCCTGTCGCCTCCGCCTCATCTTTCTCCATCTTCATTCTGTTTTTCGCTCAACGCCAAGGATCGGCTTCTTGCGCCGTCACCTCAAACTTCCCTTCAGTCCATCGGTGTCGCCTCCGGTGACCTTATATTTTTCTCCTTCAATCCAAACGCTTTTTCTGCTGTTCCTTCCACTCAAGACCCTCAATCAGTAACCCTAGCTCAAGACCCGAATCAGATGTCTGAATTTAGCAACAATCAAGAGACTCCAGTCCAAGAATTGATTCAATTTCTAGATCCCATTTCAACAGAGCCCGAAATTTCTCAAGAAACCCAAGGAACGGAATTTATGGACATCGATGATTTCGCCCTTGGTGCAAAGTCGTCCGAGCCCTATTTCTTGAGGAAGGTTATGAGTGAAGAGCTGGGTGATAATGGAAGCATTCACAAGCTGTTTGCGATTGCGGTCCACGCGGTTTTACTGGAATCGGGTTTTGTGGGGATTGATCCCGTTTCGGGGATGCAAAATGATCGGTTTCATTTGCCAGATGAGTTCGCTTCTCCTTTCTCACTTTGTTATTCTCTGCCTGAACTTTTGAGGGCTGACTATAATAGTTCTTCCGGTTCTAATTTGACTGATTATGTTGTTTTGAAGTTTCTAACTTTAGGGCAATTCATTCAGGTCTATGGATCTTTAGTTAAGGGGTCTATGCTGCATAAATTGTCTTTAGATGAACATAGGTTCGCCCCAACTTTGAATTTAGTGTGGGTAAATTGTGGTAAGAATGATAAGAAAGATGGGTCTATTAATTCATATCCTGAGAATGAAGTTTTTGAGTTTTGGAGGATTGTTAAGGATGGGCTTGCATTGCCATTGTTGATAGACCTTTGTTCTGAGACTGGTTTGGCTCTTCCAGCTTGTCTGATCCGTCTCCCAACTGAGTTGAAACTCAAGATTCTGGAGTCGTTGCCCGGTGCCGACATCGCAAGAATGGAATGTGTTTGCTCAGAGATGCGGTATCTGGCTTCCAACAATGATCTGTGGAAGCAGAAATTTGCAGAAGAGTTTGGAGATTTGTCGGGAGCAGCAGGAATGGGGAACTGGAAAAAGATGTTCCATTCATGTTGGGAGAAAGGGAAGAAACAGAGCTGGGCGATTACGAGGTGGCAAGGGTATCCTCGTGTTGATAGACCATTTTACATCCCGACGTGGAGAGATCTCAATCCAATGTTTGCTCCTCCTGGAGTTCCTGGTGTAGTTGGCGGTGATTATGACTTAATGCCTGGTCTCATCATGCCCCATCCTCTCCCACTTCGATTTCGAGGGCGACGGAATGCCGGATTTCATTGTAATCTTGGAGGACAGAATGATGCCTAGTTGCCGGTGAGCTTCAATAATTCCTTTGAAAGTAAATAGAAAAAAGATGTTTTGTATATGTAATTGCATTATGAGAACAAATCTTGTTTCGGTAGAAGGGAAGAAACAAGATGAGAATATGCAGTTTGTCGAGTTTTGATGCTTGTAAGCACCATGACTTTGTTTGATCATTGATGATATTTATGCTATTGTAAGTGTTGTTATTTATTGCTGCTGAAGAAGGAATAAACGAAAACAAATCTTGTGCACAAACAGCACCTATTATCATAGAATGACAAATTGGACTTTCTTAATTCCCAAGGAAGGTCTAAAATGTTTATATTTTTTTTATTAAACTAAGGTGATTTTACAAAGCAATATATGTTCTATGTACTCTCAACCATTTGACAATAAACATTCAATCATCCTTGCAGTTGTTGATGCTCGAATCTGTGACCTCTATAAACAATAACAATTTCTTTAACAACTGATAGTAATTTGGTTTGTCTCTAAAATGCATACTTAAAATTCAATAAGAAACTCATGAACACATTTTTAACATACAAAAGTACCCACCATGCAAAGCATATAAAAGATCATAACATGTTGAAACTTATCTATACACAAGTGATACTGTCTAAAATCAATATTTACAAACCATTTATTTAACCTATAAAGATCTAGTATGCATCAAAATATGTACTTTTCACACATCATAACACGTACCAAAGCTCATAATTCACTTAAAACCTATTAATCAAGTATAGTATCGTGTCAACTATCAAGCAGACAAGCACCAACATATTAAGCAAACTCTTTTCATATGAAACTAACATATCACATATCATACATTAGCATACACTATTATAGAATCCAACATAACACACTTTTTTCTGAACAATTTCTACGGGGAGGGGAAAGGGGAATTTTACTCCTAATACGTATTGAACCTACAATCTAAGAAAGGGGAGGTGTCAATTGAGATTTTTTAAGTTTTAACTATATGTTATAGAGATTATTGACAACATATCACTGCCGAGTTAATAGTCAACATAAATAGTACCAACCAACCACCCATCACTTATACATGCCAGCATCAACTTAGAGTTCGCATAATAAAGGTTTTATATAAAGATGGCGTCGAAACTAACCTAATACCGTGAAAATAACTGAAGTAAACTTAAATAATTTCTGTTAGGAGCCCAAGAAAGCAAAAATATACATGGACATAGTTTATTGACACAAGTATAATATGTAAACATAAATGCTTATACACTGAAGAAAAACGTATTTCAGATTACTTTAGATTTTAGCACTCTTTGGTTACCTAGGCTTAGATGGATAAACGAATCAACAACACCCTAGGTAACACAACTAAGGTCTATAGCCACATAATACCCAAATGTAACTCTGAACATTTTACACATTCAAACATATATCACATTATCCGTACGCAACTCTAAACATATTTAACCCGTAATACAAGTACTAAAGGGATCTTATGACATGCCAACCATATCTGTAAGAGTACTAAGATAACCAATACTCAAATTATAATATTCTCACATCACGTAATCACTTGGATTTTTTTTTTCGCAAAACAAATGTAAGTTTATTAATATTAGCAAAATTGGCCAAAGGCCATAAAGTTGCCAAATGGTGCTTCAATGAAGCATGAACACAAAATCAAGCATTGAATTACACTCCAAAACAAAGATAAAAAATACAAGTAAAACATCATGAATGCACGACCTTAATATACTGACCTAAAAACAACATCAATTACAGCAATCGACAAACATCATGAATATGCATGGCGACTACAATCGCCCAAAATACAAGCTTGAACACTTCGATTTCTATAATTCAATGGTTAATTTTTTTCTTCCCTCTTTTTCTTAGTACTTTCTTCTACAACTTATTGAGCTTCAAATACACATATTTAATGAATCAATAACATAGCTCAAGCTTAAAATGATATTCAAAATTAGGAATGACCATGCATGGCTTAAATACTAAAATTTGGAGTTTAGGTTTTGTTACCTTGCCTAGAATTTTAATTCAAACTAAGATAAAAATGTTGACTAGCACATAAGCTTCTCAAATCTCAACTCAAATCTCACAAACACTTAAGAATTTTAGAAAATTTAGGATCTCTCTTTAGACATTCAATGTCTAAACAATGGTGATATGGTGAAAGGTGAAGGAAGAAGAAAAATTATAGATATATATAGAGAGACTGAGAGAGGGGCTTGATCT